AGTTTAAGGGTTAATATACTTACCACCACTAGTTAATGAAAACATCATAATTAAGGGGCCCGGTGCATGTGGAGACTTTTCCATATATAAAAAATAGTCAAAAATTAAATAAAAATATTCCGTTATTTGGCATCAGTCATGAAAATTTCATCCCAATGTGTTAAAAAATGGACTTTACAATTTTTTTTAAATAAATATGTGAGCATCTGGCAGCAACCTGTTCTGATAACAACGATAACACCTCCTATTTTCTGGACATCAGGGTTAAAGAGATGCATGCACCTGTTCGACACACAAAGAAGATGAGTAGTAGTACAGAGGGTCCACAAAGTGGATATGCTGCTGCTGTCACCTGGAGGGCCAGATTTCACACATAATAATGAGTTAGTAAGTTATTATGCTGTATTCTATTATATATTATATAAATACATTGCCCAATGGCAATACTGTTCAGTATTTCTTATGTCCCTTTATACAAAAAGCCAACAACCACTTTTATGTTTTTCGTTTTTACTTTTTTTCTCGTTTGTTTCTATGTGGATTTTGTTGTGACTTCTACATCTTGGAGAATACATATCAGGCACTAAGCATGTGAAGTTTGAATGAAATTGGTTAACATGTTAATCAGCCACACGTAACCGAAGTTGTGACTTTTTTTTTTAGCCAATTATTTGCAGAGTTCAAACACTATTCTCTTTGTCTATTTAGCTGGTATTCATGAATGAGGACCAGATGTGGGCCTTATCACTAATAAATGGGCAATAAAGTTATTGCAATATAAGTGTTTGTTATAATAACATAAGAACATAAGAATGACGGTAACTGCAGAAGGCCTATTAGCCCATACGTGGCAGCTCCTATTTATATCCACCCAATCTCATTCATATATATATGTCTAACCTACTGTTAGACAGTTAAGGGACCCAGTGTATGTTTTTCAGTTATCCCTAACTTATCCATATATTTTGTTATTTGGGGGGGTTATTTTTTCGTGACTTCATTTCAACATATATTGACCTACAACTTTCACATATTCGAGTATGAATGCCAAGCAATCGTAATTATAACCTACAAGATATGTCATAAATTAAAAGTACTAAATTCAATGTCGAGAACTTTAAATGCATAATTGCTCTATGAAAAACATTTTCAACTTTGAGACTTAATAAAAAATTCAGTTTCTGACCGATTCTCACCATTTCTACATATTATGTGCAAAGTTCTTAGTGCTAAGGTTCCTAGTGAATCGATTTGTCAAAAAGCCATAACATTTGGAATTTTAAATATTTTTTCGTATAAATTTGGCACATATTTGGATGGCCACATTTAAAAAATGTTTTACAGTAAACTATACTCTAAAACAGTGATTTTCTCACTAGCAATTGAATGTTATATGCCATTCTGAGACCATAATGAATAAAATAACAATTGGTGATATTGTAAGATATTTATAGCAATTTGAAATTGTGAATTTATATATATTTTTTTTTTTTTTTTACTTTTTTCCGTTCATGTTGTGATGTTGATTTATAAGGAAAAGTTGGAGCATTTGCCATGAGGATTCTGCACAAAAACTGAGTGTGTATGAGGAAGTTTCGGTGCCCATGCACCAGGCCCCTTAATACGCTCACCGTCACTGGTTAATGACAATATCATGATTAATACACTGACAATCACTGATTATTGACATCAACATGATAAACACACACACTGGCAGTACAGTAATAATAAAATTGTCCTTACCATCATTAATGAGAAGAAGTTGTGTTTGCTATTGTCCTGGGTAGCCGAACACAGATGGAAGCAGTATTACCTGTTAGGGGAAAATAAAACAAATTTAAGGTTGACTAATTCATTGATATTGACATTGACAATAATGACATTGACTAATATAAGGTATGACTAAAATTTTCCCAGCAAAACATAGAACATATTTACCCAATTTTTTTTTTATTTTTTAGGTATTGTGCTTAGAGCAGAAGGAGGGTGGGCAGGAGTAAGGAGGGTGGGCAGGAGTAAGGAGGGTGGCCAGGAGTAAGGAGGGTGGGCAGGAGTAAGGAGGGTGGTCAGGAGTAAGGAGGGTGGTCAGGAGTAAGGAGGGTGGGCAGGAGTAAGGAGGGTGGGCAGGAGTAAGGAGGGTGGCCAGGAGTAAGGAGGGTGGGCAGGAGTAAGGAGGGTGGTCAGGAGTAAGGAGGGTGGTCAGGAGTAAGGAGGGTGGGCAGGAGTAAGGAGGGTGGGCAGGAATAAGGAGGATGGGCAGGAGTAAGGAGGGTGGGCAGGAGTAAGGAGGGTGGTCAGGAGTAAGGAGGGTGGGCAGGAGTAAGGAGGGTGGGCAGGGGTAAGGAGGGTGGGCAGGAGTAAGGAGGGTGGGCAGGAGTAAGGAGGGTGGGGCAGGAGTAAGGAGGGTGGGGCAGGAGTAAGGAGGGTGGGGCAGGAGTAAGGAGGGTGGGGCAGGAGTAAGGAGGGTGGGGCAGGAGTAAGGAGGGTGGGGCAGGAGTAAGGAGGGTGGGCAGGAGTAAGGAGGGTGGGGCAGGAGTAAGGAGGGTGGGCAGGAGTAAGGAGGGTGGGGCAGGAGTAAGGAGGGTGGGGCAGGAGTAAGGAGGGTGGGCAGGAGTAAGGAGGGTGGGGCAGGAGTAAGGAGGGTGGGGCAGGAGTAAGGAGGGTGGGCAGGAGTAAGGAGGGTGGGGCAGGAGTAAGGAGGGTGGGCAGGAGTAAGGAAGGTGGGGCAGGAGTAAGGAGGGTGGGGCAGGAGTAAGGAGGGTGGGCAGGAGTAAGGAGGGTGGGCAGGAGTAAGGAGGGTGGGCAGGAGTAAGGAGGGTGGGGCAGGAGTAAGGAGGGTGGGGCAGGAGTAAGGAGGGTGGGCAGGAGTAAGGAGGGTGGGCAGGAGTAAGGAGGGTGGGGCAGGAGTAAGGAGGGTGGGCAGGAGTAAGGAGGGTGGGGCAGGAGTAAGGAGGGTGGGGCAGGAGTAAGGAGGGTGGGGCAGGAGTAAGGAGGGTGGGGCAGGAGTAAGGAGGGTGGGGCAGGAGTAAGGAGGGTGGGGCAGGAGTAAGGAGGGTGGGCAGGAGTAAGGAGGGTGGGGCAGGAGTAAGGAGGGTGGGGCAGGAGTAAGGAGGGTGGGGCAGGAGTAAGGAGGGTGGGCAGGAGTAAGGAGGGTGGGGCAGGAGTAAGGAGGGTGGGGCAGGAGTAAGGAGGGTGGGCAGGAGTAAGGAGGGTGGGGCAGGAGTAAGGAGGGTTGGGCAGGAGTAAGGAAGGTGGGGCAGGAGTAAGGAGGGTGGGGCAGGAGTAAGGAGGGTGGGGCAGGAGTAAGGAGGGTGGGCAGGAGTAAGGAGGGTGGTCAGCAGTAAGGAGGGTGGGCAGGAGTAAGGAGGGTGGGCAGGAGTAAGGAGGGTGGGCAGGAGTAAGGAGGGTGGGGCAGGAATGAGGAAGGGGGTATGGGCATGTTCTCAGCTGCCTCCCCTCCCTCTCTGACAGCCTACGTAATATAAACCACATGCATTAACCCTTAAGCTGCTACAGCCTGGGCTGTAAAAGCTGGGGCTGGGCAAAAAATATTTGAATTATGTGAAAATTAATATTAAATGTTAAACAAATCTCCAACTTATTGGCATAAGCATCATGAAAGTTTCATTCCAATATTTTCAGAAATGTACTTTAGACAATTTTTTTTTAAAAAAAGAACATTTTATTGATAAGGAGAACAACTCCTATTAACTGGAACTGAGGGTTTTGTCTCCTTTGTTTATTATCTCATTTTGTTGTAACCTCTACATCCTGGAGAGTGCATACCCATCCCTAACAATGTCAAGATAGAATGAAATTGGTCACCAAATAAATCAGTCACAACTGGCAGAACTTAGGACTGTGATTTTTTTTTACTGAGTTTTTCAGAGATTTCAAATTCTATTTTCTTTGTCTCTTAGGCGGTTTTGATGATTAGGGACCAGATTAGAGCTTTATCACTTTTATAAAGTATATATTTTTATCCCCTAAATCATTATAATTACCCCTATATTTTGTTTTTTGGGGGGTTATTTTTTCTTGACATCATTCCAACACATACTGACCTACAACTTTCACATATTTGAGTGCGAATGCCAAACAATATTTATTAAAACATATAAGTAAATTAATGAATTAGAACTACCTTATTCATTGTCGATAACTTCAACTTCAATTATCTCTAAAACTAGAGTTTCAACTTTGAGTCAGCTTCAAAAAATCCAGTTTCTCACCTATTCTCATCATTTTTACAAATAATGTGCACAGCTGTCTGTTATACAATCCTATTAGAATGGATTTTTCACAAACCCTAAACGTTTGGAGATATCAATTTTTTTTTCTAAATTTCGGGCATAATTCAGATGCCACACTGACAATTGTTTTTTACAGTAAACTAAACTGAAAACATATATTCTAAATCTATGAAAATGAAGATCATATACTATTCTGAGAGCATAATAACACCAAATGAACAATTGGTGATAGTTTATATTTTTTGCAGCTAATCTCAAAATCCGAAGTATTCAATATTCAATTTTATAATTATTTTTTGTTTTCTTATTTTACAAGTTACGTTTATGATCATTTAGACAAAGTTGCAGGATTTGCTAGTATGCACAAAAAACTGGAAAGCATTAGAGCAAATTTGAGAAATTGAACTTTGCCATCAGGTCCTGTCGTATATGTATGCCATGCACAGCTTAAGGGTTAATACAGAACTGTACTGTATAAAGTGCATAAAACTTCAAACTAACAATATTTCAAATTATAACAATAATAATATTTTAAATAAAACAACTTGTAACAGTCAATATGTACATTAAATTTTGAATATGCCTATAAAATAAGCACAGGTCATGTCAACGCGTTGGGCCTGGATGAGATGGCTGGCACCATGTGCTTCTCCTCTTCCTGGGGTAAAAACGTCGGACTCGCGCGCGAAGGATTTTCATGATAAATTTGAACAAATTTTACTGTTTGAACTCATTTAATCTGTCAAGATGTCTCAGAGCAGCATTCATGGTATTGAAGGTATAAAACAAAAGAGAAAACATTTGTCAATTGATCAGAAAGTTGACTTGATAGAGAAAGCAGAGCATGGATACTCTGTCACTCAACTCGCCCAAGAATTCAACATCGGTAAAGCTACAGTTTGTGATATAAAAAAGCAGAAGGATAATATTAAGAAATTCTTTGCTCAAACTCATGCAATAGGCAACAGGAAAACATTGAAACCTGCTAAGTATATGGATTTGGACTCGTCTGTATTTAAATGGTTTACACAGCATCGTGCGAAAGGAATTGCTGTTTCAGTTGATTCTATTAGAAATGCAGCTGAAAGACTTGCTGTAAAGTTAAACATAGACAATTTCAAGGCTAGCATTGAATGGGTATGTCGATTTAAAGAGAGGTATGGCATCATTAACAAGAAAATTTGTGGCGAGGCATTAAGTGCAGATGTTGGAAGTGCTAATGCATATAAGCATAAACTTTCTCAGCACATTATATCTAATAATCTAAGCTGGTTTTAAGTGTACAATGCAGATGTAACAGGCTTTAACTGGAAATGCCTTCAAAGAAACACTTTGGCCTTCAGGCTTGAGAAGAGTATTCCTGGTTGCAAGGTAAAGAAGGAAAGAATTTCAGCATTATTGTGCTGTAACGCAGATGGCAGTCACCGAACAAAGTACGCAATTGTTGGGAAATCTGCCAACCTCAGAGCATTGAAAAACTGCATGAACAGACTACCTGTCATCTACTACAACACAAAAAATGCCTGGTTCACACAGATTACTTTTGAGGATTGGTTCCAGAATCACTTTTGTAAAGAAGTAAAAAAGCAGCAGATCAATATGTGCAGAATTCATCCTGCTGAGATAAAGTCAATGTTGTTGACTGATAATGCCCCAGCTCACCCCATTGCTAAATTAACATCACCTGATGGCAAAATAACATGTATGGCTTTACCACAAACACTACATCTGTAATACAACTCATGGATTAGGGGTTATCTATGCTCTCACAGGCTTTATAAAAGAGCTATGAATTCAGATATTATGGAAGTTCTGCTCTCTGAGGAAGACGAGATGCCTAATAAGGATAAGAAGGCTAGTAGAACACTAGAAAATTTCAAGAAATATTTAATTAAAGATGCAATTTACAACTAGGCCAAGGAATGGAGCGAGTTGAAGGTCACCACATAAAAGAATGCATGGAATAAAATTCTGAGTCCGGTACCTGGTTAGAATAAAGACGAAGATGGCTATGATTTTCAGGGCTTTGATAATGCGATTTTTGAGACATTCAGAGATGCAGGTGAGGAAGATTTGCAACTTTCTGATGGGAATGAGTGGTTAAATAATGATGCTGATGATCCAGGTTATGTTGAATTAACTGATAATGAGATTATCCAGTGTGTTACTGGTAATAATGATGAGGATGTGGAAGAGGAAGATGACAGTGTTATCTATTCCATATGCTGCATCATTGCAAAAGGTTAATGATCTGCTTGATTTGGTTGCTGTAACTGATAATGAAGAACTGACAGATTATTACCTGCACCTAAAGGACATGAAAGATATTATAATGAAGCTCACAACAAAGAAACAAACTAAGATTCAAAAGTTTTTGGTACGGTTTCACAGTAGGCCTACAGGATCAGCACCCAGCACTAGTAAGGACTCACCTTCCGAGGATGTCCAGGCAACTGGACCAGCACCCAGCACTAGCAAGGACTCACCTTCTGAGGATGCCCAGGCAACTGGACCAGCACCCAGCACCCAGCACTAGCAAGGACTCACCTGCCAGAGGATGTCCAGGCAACTGGACCAGCACCCAGCACTAGCAAGGACTCACCTGCTGAGGATGTCCAGGCAACTGGACCAGCACCCAGCACTAGCAAGGACTCACCTGCTGAGGATGCCCAGGCAACTGGACCAGCACCCAGCACTAGCAAGGACTCACCTGCTGAGGATGTCCAGGCAACTGGACCAGCACCCAGCACTAGCAAGGACTCACCTGCTGAGGATGTCCAGGCAACTGGACCAGCACCCAGCACTAGCAAGGACTCACCTTCTGAGGATGCCCAGGCAACTGGACCAGCACCCAGCACTAGCAAGGACTCACCTTCTGAGGATGCCCAGGCAACTGGACCAGCACCCAGCACTAGCAAGGACTCACCTTCCAAGGATGTCCAGGCAACTGGACCAGCACCCAGCACTAGCAAGGACTCACCTTCTGAGGATGCCCAGGCAACTGGACCAGCACCTAGCACTAGCCATAACTTACCTGGGAGGAACAATTGAGCTGTACAGCACAGTTCTAATGACATTAAATGTACAAAGTATAGTTTATATGGTATAAGTGTACTGTGTGTGATTCTAGTGGTCTGTACTTTATGTATAGACTGTAGAGTATAATGTACATTTGTTAGAAAAGTTACTGTTCTTTAAATAATTTATACAGGGTATTCATATGTGTGGCACTCTCAGGATATTAAGGCTAACAAAGTTTGCACTACAAAACTCAACTGGTAGAGTAAGTACAGTACTGAAACGTGCAATATCAATTTATTTCATTGCAATACAAATTCTTTATTATTTAAATTTTTCATAAGGCAAATGTGGACTGGCATATGCATTAATGTGATTGTATTTTTTTTTTTTGGGGGGGGGGGGGGAGTTGCTGGGGCCGAACGGATGGAATGAATTCCACACTGGAATGAATCGGCTATGCCCCATATAGTTCATTCAAGCGAGTACACACATTTAATTTCTACATTTACTATCTACATTTAATGTCATCTAATTTCATGCATTTCTTTGATAAAGTGTTTACTCGTGTCCTTTATGATCTTGGTTATTTGAAACTGTTGGCCAAATTAACCTTAAATTATAGTATGTTACTCTATGTTCTGATATGTTCAAAGAAAATGTTATGAGGAATAGTTCACTTGCTTTTCTAAATTACACCTTGTATTTCCATTCTATAATTAATGTAAATAAACTACTGTACTGTTGCTAGAACTACTGACTCCATAATGTAATAGTCTATGCTTGTCATCCTTAAGTATCACCTTCTTTGTATTCATTTTTTATTTTCCTTGAACATTCTCATTTTGTTAGCTTACTTCTCTAATAGTATTAAGTGTTTTATCCCGTCACAACTTTAATTAAAAAATTTCTATATTATTATTAATTTTGCCCGAAACGCTTTGCGTAATAGTGGCTTCATTAGTATGTGTAACTTCTGTCCCTTCAATTGAACAATATTCTTATGTTCTTTGTACACACAATCTTTTGAATAAATAATATTATTATTATTATTATTTACACAGAAAATCACACTAAAGTGATATACATCAATGAGAAAATTCCCTCGGGCTGTGAGATGATGCAAACCTGCAATGTTTGCATCACCTCACAGCCTCAGTGGATTGTTCATTGATGTATATCACCTTAGTGTGATTTTCTGTGTATCTGAAGTTGTGCATACAATGTTGAACTACAGTACTTTATCCTTCACCTGAGTGCTTGGGGGTCTTACATAAAACTTGGACTGGCTTCAGGACTGTGATATCAGGATATCACAGACTTCCTGTGATATCAGTAGAAATCCGATTGTAAGAAAGTCAGTGGTGGTACAGTAGTAGAGTATGCAGCTGGCAATGCCTTGGTCATGGGTTTGCAACACTACACAGTCCCAGTGAAATTTCTTATTATTATTATTATTATTATAAAAGTTATCATTATTCGATAGGCCAATGTCCACACCCCAACAATGCCAGGCATATAATTTACCCCAACAATTCCACTGGCCAACGTCCACACCTCCAACAATTCCATAGTCCTATTTCCATACCCCAACATTTTTGTTGAAGAAAAAAAAACATGCTGTTTGTTGACCAACTTGTATATTGGCTATTTTCTACCATGTTCCCCCCCTTTTTTCATCTTTTATTATTTTTATTTTTTTCTTTCAATGCAATTATACTTTAAGCTTAATTACTATTAAGTTTTAGTCTAAGTGTTTTTTTTTCCCCACCTCACCTTGCCCGAAACGCTATGCGTACTAGTGGCTTTAGGTATTGTATGTACTACCTCTATCTTTAAATCAAACAGAATGTTTGTACTGTAACTCTGCAACTATGTATGTACTTTTCCTAAATAAATTTTTATTATTTTTATTATTAACAATTGTATGTTGGGGGTGTAAGACAATGTTGGAGCAGACAATGGTGGAGCAGAAAGCTCAGTACTCACTTCCCCCCTTCAGAGCAGGAGAGATTGCTGAAATAGAGGGAATACAGAGAACATATACGGCACGCATCGTTGAGATAAAACACCTAAATTATTGGGATCGTCTCAAAGCTCTCCGAATGTACTCTCTAGAAAGGAGACGAGAGATACCAAATAATATACACATGGAAAATACTGGAGGGCCAGGTCCCAAATCTACACAGTAAAATAACAACGTACTGGAGTGAATGATATGGAAGAAAATGCAGGATTGAACCAGTGAAGAGCAGAGGTGCCATAGGCACAATCAGAGAACATAAGAACATAAGAACAAAGGCAATTGCAGAAGGCCTATTGACCCATACGAGGCCGCTCCTATCTATAACCACCCAATCCCACTCATTCACATGTCCGACCCGCACTTGAAATAATCGAGGGACCCCACCTCTACCACGTTACGCGGTAATTGGTTCCACAAATCAACAACCCTGTTACCGAAACAGTATTTACCCAAGCCTTTCCTAAATCTAAATTTATCCAATTTATATCCATTGTTTCGTGTTCTGTCTTGTGCTGATACTTTTAATACCCTATTAATATCCCCTTTGTTGTGTCCATTCATCCACTTGTAAACCTCTATCATGTCACCCCTAACTCTTCGCTGTATAAACATCAGAGGTCCACGGTTGTTCAATGTTCTCCCAGTGACTATAAGAAATATTGCCGGAACAACCGTGGACATCTTCAAGAGAAAACTGGACTGTTTTCTAAGAGAAGTTCCGGATCAGCCAGGTTGTGGTGGGTATGTGGCCCTGCGGGCCGCTCCAAGCAACAGCCTGGTTGACCAGAGACCAAACTCTCACAAGTCGAGCCTACCCTCGGGCCGGGCTTGGGAAGTAGAAGAACTCCCAGAACCCCATCAACCAGGTAATGCACTCAAGTACTTACGGAGGATGATGAGAGTGCGAGGAACAAGGTGGTCAGGTGGAGCCAGTGACTCCTTCCTTCAACGGTTTTGTCTCTCCCTCGTGGTATATCCTCAATATCTTCAGTGGTGTGGCCTCACCACACACTTACACTGCCATAAGTGTCATGAGAGTACTGTGGGAGGGACAATTTGGCGGGTATTGTGGACACAGGTCTTTAAGACAGGCGAACCTCACGAGTCATGTACACGTCTATAGCAACCTTTGTTGTGATGACGTCACTCGCTCGCTCGCTTACCCGCCACGTCGCTCTTCCCATTTTCTTTGGTTACTGATCTTTGCCGACGTTTAATTTACTTGAGAGCCACTAATATTGGTGGCCTCAACGAGGACAGGAAGTTGGCGGCTTGTCAAAGGTCCTACCCATTTGCCTGGATGATCTTTTCTATCTGTATTTTAAAACCCAGTAGAGTTTTGGCGTTTACCTTATCTACTCTTTGGCGGGTAGGCTGTTCCACGGGTTTACCACCATACGGGTGAAAAAGCCTCTCCTGTTTTCTGTCCTACATTGTGGCTTGTTGAGCTTGAACCCGTTGCTCCTCGTTCGTGTTACATCTGACCTTTTGAAGAAAGTGTCCGGATCAACATCGTCCAAATTGTTGAGTATTTTAAGTGTTTCGATGAGCTCCGCCCTGTCATGCCTGGTTTGCTGTGTTGTTTGGCCAGTGGCCCTCAACCCTTCCTGATACGAGAGATGACTAATCTCTGGTATAATTTTTGTTGCCCGGTGTTGCATCTTCTCCAGAGCAGCTATGTCTTTCTGAA